AAAGAAGATAAACAAGAAAACAGGTGAAGAAGGCAAAAGAACATTAATATCATCCCACCTTTCAGAACTTCGGTAGTAAAACAAAAGGGGGGGAGGGTTACCCTTAAGACAATTTCATTTTAATCAGCTCCACGTGAAGTATAGCAAAACTATGAATCAAGAGTCAATATGATTAGCAACTTATTCTGAACTGGCAAGGCTAGTAGAAATTAGAGTTAGCAGAAAACTGATTGAGATGTGTAATTCAACTATTACCAACCTACATCTGTAATTAATTGGGGTGAAAAGTGGGTAGATTAATTCAACACAAGGAATGAAAATAGTGTGATGACATTGTGCCTTTAGAAGTGAGTAAAAATATAACAATAAATATAGCCAACAGTTCTACTGTATGTACAAGATTTAAAAAAAGGTAAAAAAGAAATTGAAAAGGAAAAACCAACCTTTTCCAAGTCATCATTACCCTTAGCACCAGTAGAGGCAAATTTATGTAGGTTGTCCAAGTAGTTTGACAGCTGAACAAACTTTAGTTTAAAACTACCCAGTTCATGCTGAATAATGGAACGATGCGTATTTTCCAAGTTAGCCACTTCTCTAGCATGTTTCAATCGCGTCTTCTCAAACTTTAGCTTTTTTTTCAATAGCTTCATTTCTGCACGTTCAGAACTCATGGCATGTTCAAAAGAAACAGCAGATGCATCAACTAATTTCCTAGAAGACTTTAATTCACGTAAATTCTTTTGAAGTTTCTCAACTTTCCTTTTCTTTTCTTCCAACTCAAGAGCCAATTTATCGGCACGGTATTGTTCATCCATGGCCTTCTTGCGATAAATCTCTAAATGTTTTTTCAGTTCTGATGATTTCATCATGTTGGAATCCAGTGGCTTCTCCTTCATAATCGCCAGATCTCCATCCATCTTATGCATTATGTTAACCTCCTTATCCTTCAAAAACTCAAAAGCCAACTTGAATTCATTTGCATTTTTCTGTATCACTTCCAACCAAGGTTTAACATTCTTTTCCACAGCCTTACCATCAGTTTTTTCGTCATGTTGGCCACAACAAGATTCAATAAAAGTTTTCAAGGTCTGAAGTTCTTTGACCTGCTTCTGCAATTCCTCAATCTTGCAAGTCTTTCTGTCCAATTGCTGAAGTAAGTTTTCAGCCTTAGATTGTTCTTCCTCAGCCTGCTTCCTGTTTGCTTCAGCTTGAATCCTTGAAACATGTGCTTTAGACATTTCGGAATTTGCACGCTCTCTCTCTTTGGAAGTCCTTCGCTTTTCTATCTCTAGGTCTTTTTTAACCTCATTTAGTTTAGATGTTTCGCTTGCCAACTTTAACTTTGTTTCTTCATATTCTTTTTTTAACATCTCTAGCTGTTGTCTGCATTCTTTAACCTTATCCAATTCATTTTTGTGAAGCTTCCTTAAGTCACTAGCCTTACTCCTTTCAATCCTAACTGTTTTCAAAGCTTGAGCAGCCTCCTCTTTCCTCACTTCAGCATTTTTCCTTTCAGCATCTGTCTTTCTCTTCTCTGTCTCTAGAAGTTCGTTTAGATGACTGATTTCCTTCTTACCCTCAGCAACAAGAGCATTAAGCTGCTCTACTTCCCTACAAACTTCAACTGCATCTACATCGTTTTGTCTCAATGAAGAAATGTGAGATTTCAAGTCCAAAATTTCCCTCTCCAAAGAAACTCTAATAGCGGATTCTTTTTCTTTTCCCTCTCTCTCAATCGAAGCTCCAGCCTTGTCCTCCTCATATCCTACACCCATTAATTATCAAAATTAAAAGAAGAAGAAGGAGGAGGCATAAAATGACATCACCCAAGTGTAGCCCTTCTAAAAAAACCACATGCTCAACAGCTAAACTAAAAGATATTTTTACCTCCAGTGTTTTTAGAGCAAGATGCAAGGTGATACAAAAACCAAATTGACGAATATACCAAGAAGCATAACTTTTTCATTGTATAAAGGTTGAAATCAAATCGATTTCTCAAGTAAAACCACTCAAAACAAAAGAAGAGATGGGCATTATACATTTGGTGTGATTTGTCTGTTAATCAAATACATATGAAAATAGGGCCACTGGGAAGGAAAATTTTTACAGCCGACTGGATAATAAAAGTATTCTCAAATTGTCACAAGCAAAAGAAGGATACAAAAAGCCTAGCTTTGTTTCACGCTTTGTTGTTCTATTAACGATATGTCACATCTCCATGTTAGTGTTGGCAGAAGTATCACAAATTCTACAATGAATACATGTCTTACAGAAGTTCCGTTATTAAAAGATACAAAAACAGGCAGAGGAAAATAATCATGATTGAGATTCTACCTTTTTTAAGATTAAGATTCTCCGCCTGAATCTTGTTGATTTGTTGCTGAAGGAGCTTGACTGCCTGCCGTAAAGCATTTCTTTTCTCTTCTACCTCGGTGCACTTATCTTTCCACTGCGCCCATAACAACCATAATGAAATGAAACGAAATACAAACAAAAAAAAAAAAAAAAAAAAAAAAAAAAAAAAAAAAAAAAAAAAAAAAAAAAAAAAAAAAATTACCAAAGACAAGCAGAAGAGGAAGAAGAAGAAGAAAGAAAGAAAACATTACCCTTTTACAGCAGGAATTAGCCGATTCAGGGTTCGGTACGAAATCGTCCAGCATTTCCAAATGCCCTAAAGAACAAAGGATTAAACAAGAGCAGTCGAATTGCTGCACTTAAAATCTTACAAACTCATAACCAAAACTTCGCAAGGAAGTACCAGATTATCGAAAACGTCGAATCGGTCGCCGGAAATTATTGAACAGCATGAGCTCAATAATCATCCACTTGTTAGCATTCAGCGCAGTGAAATCCTAGAGAAACAAGTTCCTCAAACTTAGTTTCAAGCATTTGAATGAAAACACTCGAGTACCACTTCAGGCGATCATCGCAAAAGGCAGTCAATGGAAGTCGGTTCAAAATTTTTCTCTGCTGTAACGGATGGAGCAAACACAAAATTGATCAAAGATTTTAGCATTGGCTTCACTGAAGTATGAACAATCCCTTCCTCGATCGTTCGATTCGCAGCGGTGAGGTTTATAATTGGTTTTGTTTGAACTTTAAACAAGAATCAATGTTCTCTGCAACTTTTTGGTTCCTTTTCATTGGTTTAGGGCTTTAACAGAACTACGACATGAAAATGAGAAAAACGGCAGTGGCAAATTGGTTCGGTTCCCGGTTTGACCAAAACCGAACCGATAAAACCCCGATTCGCGGCTTACTTGCAAAACGAAAAAATAAAATAAATAAATATTATTCGGTGGTTAGATCGGTAACCCACTCAATTTTTTATTTTCGGGTTGGGTTCGAGATGTTAATTAAAAGTTATTTTGATACCATTTTAAATAGGAGATAATTAAAACTTTACAAACAAACACAAATTTTAAATAGGAGATAATTAAAACTTTACAAACAAACACAAATCAATCTATAATTATTCACACAAAAAAATAATAATAATAATAATCAATCAAGAACAACTAATTTTCGGATTGGGTTCGAGAAAAGATAATTAAAAGATCAATCAAGAACAACTAATTTTCGGATTGGGTTCGAGAAAAGATAATTAAAAGATCAATCAAGAACAACTAATTTTCGGATTGGGTTCGAGAAAAGATAATTAAAAGATCAATCAAGAACAACTAATTTTCGGATTGGGTTCGAGAAAAGATAATTAAAAGATCAATCAAGAACAACTAATTTTCGGATTGGGTTCGAGAAAAGATAATTAAAAGATCAATCAAGAACAACTAATTTTCGGATTGGGTTCGAGAAAAGATAATTAAAAGATCAATCAAGAACAACTAATTTTCGGATTGGGTTCGAGAAAAGATAATTAAAAGATCAATCAAGAACAACTAATTTTCGGATTGGGTTCGAGAAAAGATAATTAAAAGATCAATCAAGAACAACTAATTTTCGGATTGGGTTCGAGAAAAGATAATTAAAAGATCAATCAAGAACAACTAATTTTCGGATTGGGTTCGAGAAAAGATAATTAAAAGATCAATCAAGAACAACTAATTTTCGGGGTTCGAGAAAAGATAATTAAAAGTTTACACACAAACACAACTCAATTTATAATTATTCAAAAAAAAATGAACAACTAATTTTCGAGTTGGGTTCGAGATGTTAAAAAAAAAATAATTTATCCACAATTTATAATTTTCAGATACAATTTTAGATAAAAGATAATTTAAAGTTTATAAATAAACACAAATCAATCACTAATTATTCACACAAAAAAAATCCAATCAAGAACAACGAGCGAAAATTGTAATATATTAACATAATTGAACTTCTCATAAAACTAAAAACAACTAAAATATCGACAATTGTTGAGAATTATTAGGTCGAATATATTTATAAAAAAAGAAAATATCAATAAAACGGACTAGTTTAAAAATATTATATATAACAAAAAAAAAATATTATAAAAATATTATAATTGAAATAACGAAGCGCACAACCAAAAATTAAAAAAATAAAAATAAAAACTATTAAAAAAAATAAAAATATATATATATAAATTATGATATAATAATAAATATATTATAATTTAGAATTACTTGTCCCAATTTTAAAAACTATATACACACTCGTATTTAATTTTATAATTATTTTCTTTTCAATTTTAAAAACTATATACACACTCTTATTTAATTTTATAATTATTTTATTTTCAACCGCATTTAAAAAATAATTTTTAACCCTTTTGGAAACTATTTTTCTTAAAAAGTATATATTAAAATTCAACTACTAGTCTTAATTAAATATTTTAAAATAAACAAATAAAATACGTAGTTTAGAAAATACCTCTAAAAATAATTTGATATGTAAATTTATTTTATTCTCGAGTATAACGTAGTCAAATATGCTTCCATTATATTTTACGAGAATGCCATAAACTTTAAAATTTTAAAACAAAACCATAAGAGTTTAACAAAAATTTAATACAAGATTAAATACCATCTTCCTTATTTTATATTACATTAGAACACTTGAGGCCATACAAAAACTATACTACATAATAATCTTAGAACATACTGATTCAAGATACACAGATATATGATGACAGGATAAAATCGAATTCGAAGTTGGGCAATTTCACACCATCCCGACGACGCCACACGACAGGAACGAATAAATCAAGCAATAAGTAGACAGAAGAACAAAGAATAATGTTGAGAATCAATCAATCTCAGGAAGTTGCAGACATAACCTAATGCTACTGATACAACACTACACCTGAAGTGATCATCATCATCATCATCTTCTTTTCTCAGCTACTTTTGAAGGTGGAGGCAATGTTCCAAACACTTTGTCCCATAGTGATGAAGTAATTCCAAAGCCTAGTGTTTGGATTCTGAAGTGATGGTTCAAGTGGTATTTCTGTACAAACAAATCAACCCATTTCCAGATTTTTTTATATATAACAACAAAACTTATATCGACTTCAAATGTATGTATGTATGTATGTATGTATGTATGTATGTATAGGTGTACTCGTATAAATACCGATGTAAGCTTTTTGTCATACAAGAACTACTTCTGGAGTGCTAGTTCGACTGTACTAGACGGTTGGATTTCATTTTTTAACGTGATTTGGATGGCATTGGTTTTCAACTCTTTGTCAATTTCACCTAATTTGATCGGGTGGTCGGTTTAGTCTATCTCCTCCGCCATACCGCGATTCATAAAATCGTTCTTTACCAACCAGGGTAATAAATCCCACTATTTTCTAAGTTTGATGGGAGAAGTTTCGTCCAAGAGACTTATTTCTATGTCGAGGCACTACCCTACCACAAAGTGAGTTTTTATCACTAAGATGATTCTCTTTTCCTTTCATGGTCCTCGACCAAGTGAAAGCAGATGCAAACGACTTAGTATAATAGCCCAAACCTACCACTAGTCGGTATTGTCTTCTTTGGAGTTTCCCTTTCAGACTTCTACTCAAGGTTTTTAAAACGCGTCTGCGAAAGAGAGGTTTCCACACTTTTATAAAGAATGTTTCGTTCTCCTCTCTAACCGACGTGGAATTTCACAATCCACCTCCCTTCGGGGCCCAACGTCCTCGCTGGCACTCGTTTCTCTCTCCAATCGATGTGGGACCTCACACTTAGGCAAGCACTTGAACTAGCAGATCCACTTAACAAAGCTTATCAGAGATCAACAGTTCAATATCAATGTTTACTGGAAATTAACTGGAACTAGCAGCCCATTACAGACTTGTATCAGAATGTGTATAGTTCTCTCTTAGATCAGACGATTTGCATATCAGTCCTGCTTTGACTAACATGGGGGAAACATATGCATAATAAATGTGTTCTCATTTAATGGCATGCTTAATATCCTAGTGATGATAAGATATGACCAATAGATAAGCAAATTTAATACGCACCTTAAGGTTTCGTGCCGTCTCTCCAGACGGCTGGCCGTGATGAAGGTAGTGATGGGTAACATCATACATCACGTAGCCCAGCAATCCACCTCCAACCAAACAAGGTGTGGTAGATGGAGTGGCAAAAAGCTTTATCAAGTTCCAGAACTGGTAAGTCATGCAAGGAAAATAATTAGGATGACAAGGAAAAGAATTCATGAAACCGAGCTAATTACAAAAGGTGATTAGATGGCTGCTACAGGATTATGCGAGCGTGAACCCACACGTTCACCACAACATGATAAAATAAACTTTCATAGTAAGATTTATATTCATTGGATTCATGTTGATTATGGTATGAACACTGAGCACCAAAGACTAATGACTGTTTATGCCAAGAAGATTTGGTTTTATTTACTAATGACTTTCTTTTTTTTTCCCCAAGCGATGCCATGTTAACACGACCACAATAAGCACTAGTACGTATCTATGATCCAAATACCCCCATAACGGCTGTGCAGGAAAACGTAGAACGACAAACATTTCAAAAATAATCCCATTCACACACTACAGAACAATTGGCCGCAACCGAACAGGAAAGAATAAGGAGAAGACCGACATACTGGAAAGAGCAGAATAGCAGTTGCAGCAGGAGGGAAAACGAGTCGCAAGCTATCCATTGGGTGTTTGTGGTGGCAACCATGAAGAAGATAGTGTAACGTGTTTCCCCTAAAGCATCCAATTCCAAAATCATTTGAATCATCTTAATTTGTAAGTGAAAACCAAAACAATGAAGAATTTCTAGGCAGTGTTTAGGTTACTAACCAATAGCTTTTGGTTTTGATATGGAAAAGAAATCGATGAAGAGTATATTCGAGTAACGTCCACACAAAAACTCCAAATACCACCATCAAAAATAACTCTGAAGGAGTATGACCCATCCTGTAAGACATTGATATGAACCAGCAAACAACCGGCAGCCAAATGGAAGGAATCGCCCACCAAGCCGTGCGAGTCAAGAACTATTTTGCACTCAAACAAAAAATACTTCGTTAATCATCAACACGTAATCTCGATAACTTCTCGAACATTGGGGGGGAAATCAAATTCTTTTGCAAACCAATAAGCACTGCCATACCTCCCAGAAATCACTTTCGAAAAACCGAGGCCCTTCTTTGCTGACAATGGGCTGGTGAACCCATTCCTGATAATCTTCTCCAAGATGTCCTACCTGATAAAGACATGAAAGTTCACTTCTGTAGCAAGTTGAAGTGCTAAGAATATTAAGCCACCTTTCATAAAATTTTATCGTTTCCAATTTCTTTCGAGGTAGTATTACGAGAACATAAACCGAAGAACATTACGACCACCAAATAACATCTATGACACAGAAATTTTCATTATTGGGCAAGAAAAGGCTCATTTCAACTCGAAAGGCATGAGTCCAACCAACCATTATCATTTGCATCCAAATTCTTAACCAGATTTATTCACAATATAAACATAATCGGACCGACATTGTCGTTACCTGGAATACAAGTGGCTTATTCAAATCAACAGTGAATCCCTGTGCGACCATCTTGGCCTAGATGCAGCTGCAAAAAAGAACTAGAGGATTAAACAAAGTAACCGAAACGGACACTTTTGCCTACAATAATTTGATATCACTAAGGAGCAGCAGCATAGAAGGAAATAGTTCAGACTTTGTCATGTTTCTCCATTGGTAACTCTTAGATATCACACTGAAACTTCACTCAATAAAAGAGAACTTTATTCATTCATCTGCTCCTGTTTTCTTCTAAATAAATACATGAAACATTACACATTTTACACTTAAAACCAAGAATCCATGCTGTAATTGTTCGTATTAGAGCATCAAAAGGCCATAATCTCAAAGTTTAAGCCAAGAAAAAAATGAAAACCCACATCGATTCAGGTGGGGAAACCCTAGCTCATTTCTCCACAATTCACAAAAGAAACAGAGAGAAACGTAAATCTGAAGAAATTCCAGAAAATCCGTTCTCCAACACTCATTAAGAAAAAGCCCACACTAAATGAAAACCAAAGAAAAAGAGCCCACGACGCTACTCCAAAATGAATCGAAAGAACAAAACAACCTACAAACCACAGATCTACAAACAGCCACGGAAACCTAAGAGAAGAGAAAAACAGTGACAAACCGGAAAATGAAAATGTAGGTTCGGCAGAAGCGGCGGCGGCGGCGGCGGCGATCTTCCTCGCTGTAGACAATGAACTACCACCACCACCACGACGGCGGCCACCGGAGAAGGAAAGTGAGGGAGTCGTGAGTGGCAGTGTGGTATGGGGAGGAAGAGAAAAGGAGCGGAAGAGTAACGCTAAAATAGGGGTTGAGATCTGGACCGTCCGTTGAGAACATGCATCCGACGAAAACGGCCAGCAGATTCGCATAGTGGAATCTGCGGATGCCAGTCTGGCAGGATTTGCCACACCTCCGAGACCACGGTTGGCCATCCAGGATGGCGATGGACCAAATTTTGTGTGTTTTTTAGTGTCTTCCGGTCCAATTGAACCGTTTTCATAAAATGGGTTGAGTTGAGTTAAACTAAAAATCCAACCCTTAGCTCGGTTCGCTTACGTATGAATTGTTGGGTTAAAACTCCAATTTCACCTACTTTTATCCACTTCTCAGCTCTCGCATCGATGAAGAACGTAGCGAAATGTGATACCTAGTGTAAATTGCAGGATCCTATCAACCATTGAACCTTTGAACGCAAGTTGCACTTGGAGCCTTCTAGCTAAGGACACGCTTGCCTGGGCGTCATGCATCGCTGCCTCCGCATGCAATACCCACTTGGGTTTGTTGCACTATCGATGGCATAGTTAGCCTTTTGTGCGCACCTTCGTGCGAATGACTTAAAATTAGAGTTGTAACAACCTTAAATTGATTGTATAACAAACATAAATAAACATTTTAAGCCTTTACTCTTGCAAAGACTCTAATGTTCGAGTTTAACACATGGACCGATGGACCAATGTAAATTAGAGAAATAATTTTATAGAAATTTGAACTTGAAATTGATGTCGAGAATTCACATCAATTGACTTGGATTTCAAATGATAGAATTAAACTTCATTAAGGAAAATTAGTGACAATAACATAAGATAGACTAGAAATTGTATGAGTTACGAAGATGTATGAGTTGTATCGTATGAAACATTATGACGTTATTCTGTATTAAGATGATGTGCATGTATTAAATGTCATGATACATTATGACGATGATTTATTTTCGAAGATAGACAACCCTAATTAATTTAAATGATGATGTAGGTATGAAGGTCAATGCATGCATGTTACCTAGGGTAATGTGCGAATGGAGTAAAGGGGCGTGTCATTAGAGTACTTTCTTATGATGATGAGTATGGACGCATACACTATGATGACGATGATGATCATGTCTCGCATGACACTCAAGGGTCTACTAACCTCTGGACGTTGCTACGGACAGCTAGCTTGACTATGATGGGTTTAGGTGGGTGCGAACCACCTGGGGATCCACGTTCATACGTGTGGGTCGTGTGTAGGAAATTCTACACATCCAATTTTGTCCGGACTGGAGGCCACCCTTATGATGGTTTTAATGATAGGTTCCTTATCATGTGTTGCATATGTTTGCATTCCCTGACCCCAATAGTAAAGTCATTTATTGAGTATTTCTTAAAATACTCAAGTCATGTGCTACTTCTATTTCAGGTAAAGGCAAGACACCCTTGTACGGATGACGACGACATCACAAGTAGACGACGACATCACAAGTAGAGACCATGGCACATGCATAAGTTAGTGTAGGGTGCTTTTACCTTTAATATTTTATTTGTTTTATTCAGTATTTCCTTATGTTGTTTTAAAGATGCTTTTGAACATGTAAGTTCATGACAATGTTTTATGATAAAGTTTTAAATGTCCAATTCTACATAAGAGCATAGGTAATGATGATAGTAGCGACTTTAGGTTAGTAAAAATCTAAGGTCGTTACACCATCGACTGCACAAAGTTACTATTCTCAGAAACTATAACATATACTACTTTGATAAAGGGATATGGATTGTAACAGCTCAAGCCCACCGCTAGTCGATATTGTTCTCTTTGGGGTTTCCTTTTCGAGCTTCCCCTTTGATAAAGAGATATAGATTGTAACGGCTCAAGCCCACTGTAGCAGAAATTGTCCTATTTGGGCACCTTTCGAGCTTCCCTCAAGGTTTTTAAAACGCGTCTGCTAGGGAGAGGTTTTCACACCCTTACAAAGAACACTTTGTTCCCCTTTCCAATCGACATGGGATCTCACAATCCACCTCCTTTCGAAGTCTAGTGTCCTCTTCAATTGCTTTGGGATCTCATAATCCACCCCCTTCGGACCTAACATACTCGTTAACACTCGCTCCTCTCTCCAATCGATGTGAGATCTCACAATCCACCCTCTTTCAGGACTCAACGTCCTAACTGGCAAATCGCCCAGTGTCCACCCTCCTTTGGGGCTCAACGTCCTCGCTAGCCCACCGGACTTTTGAGGCCCAACATCCTTGTTGGCACATTGTTCTATGTCTGGATATGATATTATTTGTAACAGCCTAAGCCCACCACTGACAGATATTGTCCTCTTTGTGATTTTCCTTTCGGGCTTCCCTCAAAGTTTTTCAAACACATCTGTTAGGGAGAGGAGAATAGGGAGAGATTTCCACACCCTTATAAAGAATGCTTCGTTCCCTTCAATGTGAAATCTCACACAGATTCACAGCTGATTGATAGTGTGTTTTGCTAAGATGTTTATCCAAAGGGTTTTTCCAAGTTGTCGTAGTGAAGCTGCCTTCCCATTCTCTTGCCTTGGAACTATATGCTGAGACATTGGATAAAGATAAGTATAGTGTTCTTTGGAGTACTAATTGGTCTTTGTGAATCAACAACAATTGATAAAGCAATTCGTTCTTTTGAGGCTTTAGAACGAACCATTTATCAGTAACTTTGTTAGACTCTTTATTATCGAGTTCGAATAAATTGGCTTTTGAAGTTCATCGTGTGAATGGTTTCACAGTGTCGAGCTTAGACTTCAAATGTAGAAGTAACAAACAAATCAAGACGTTCGATTGAAGTTCAGATAATGATGAAGAGAATCAAAAAGAGATTGAACTTCTTCAAACGTAGAAGTTTAGAGGGCGTTTTGTCTCGAGGGAAAGTTGAATACTTAAAAACAAAGATGGCCTACGATGCATATTATCTCAAGAGAACACACTTTTTCAACCATGGTGGTACGATTATCAATCTCTCCTCTCTTTTTGCCAGATGGCCTATTAGGTAGGATAGTAAGGGTGTACATGGTCCAGGTTGGGTTGGGTTGGACTGAGTTAAGAAATTTTTTTTGACCCAATTCAAAAAGTTCGAGTTGGTTGGATTAGTAACCCAACCCAACTCAAAAATTTTCACAACCCAACCCAACCCAACCTTCCATTTTCGGGTTGGTGCCGGTTGGGTTGTCGAGTTTTCAATTTTTTTTTAAATTTTATTTATCCATAATTTATAATTATTCGAATACAATTTTAGATAAAATATATTAAAAGTTCATAAACAAACGCAAATGGATCTATAATTATTCCGATAAAAAATCAATAAAAAAAAAATAACAAGCGAAAATGGTAACATATTAACATAATTTAACATTGTCATAAAATTAAACACATGTTTATATAATAAAAAATAAAAATACTATAAAATATTTTAATTGTAATGTGAAGTTGATAGAGTTAGAGAGCACTCTGCTAAACAAAAAAAATTAAAAATAATAAAATAATATAAAAGAAATTAAACAAAATAATAATAAAAATATATATATCCCAAGCGACAAACTTGGGCTTCGGTGTCCTTAAAGAGACTGAGGTAACACTCTAGCAGACTTATTAATACATAAAGATTTTTAATATAATTTATATATTTTATTTGGCTCGGGCCAACCCGAAGGTTTTATCCACGAACCCGAAACCGAACCGATTCAGTTCGAGTTCAGAAAAATTGTAACACCCGGAGCCCAACAGGTCAGTTCGTTATATTCTTGTGACTAGCACCTTCTTAACCATTGTGAGTTTCTAAATTTTATTGGAGGACTTAGAGTGTGATTTTCAAATCGGTGCAAAAGAAAGAAATGCTCGGGATGCATCAAGGAACTTAGGAAAAAAAAATGGTAATGTAATCGAAATTTGGGTCAAAGTCAACCGGGGGCAAAAAGGTCATTTTGCCCCCACACATATCACCTTGAGGGATATGGATAGACTTGGAAGAAAGGGAAAGAGAAAGAAAAGAGAATAATAATAATAATAATAATAGAGAGAAAGAAATGAATGGTTAGAGATTTTAAGAAGAGGAAGAAGAAGGAGGGAGAAACGTCCCAAACCCGAACTGAAGCACCCTGAATCTTAGGTCTCCTACTAGAGCTACTCATAGTATCAATAGGAGTGGTCTGAATGTTGGATCGTTCGTTTCCGACAAGAAGCGAGCAAGAACGCGAGGCAAGTCCGCGACCTCTCTTGTTTCAAGATTTCACCATAGATCCGGGAGTGTTAGATGATTTAAACCTTAATAATCTAGTTGCAACACTTTAGGTGAGGAGTCTTGTAAGTTTTCAGAGGAAACACGGCCAAAAATCGCATTGGAAAACAAAATCGAGAAACCGTCCTACTTTGGTAAGAAACTAAATTTTTCTCGGATTTCGACTTCATTTATTAAGCGCTGCGAGTATCAAAAAAATACAATAAAAATATATCTGAATAGGTGGACTTGAGATCTTTAATTCTTGTGAAGGAATCAATTTAATTCAAGTTACGGTTTGGAAGATAGAAAAATCTAAAATAAATAGGTTGATATAGAATTTGACCAATAATCTGGAAATTGGATGAACTCAGGCAATCGGCGACGGACACGCGGCCGCCGAAAGGGGAGGACACACATCGAGCAACTGGTGGAGAGACGCGTCTGGCTAGGAGTTTATGTCTGATCGAGTTGGGTTTAGATAGGGGACCCTCCTGATGTTACGGTCCATGGTGTCGTGAGCGACGCTTAGAGGGAGAGACCCTTTAACCCTAGACTATTATGGACTTGTAAGTCTTGATTGAGTGATTCTGGAAACTAGGGCTCGTAGCTCAATAATCTACCTACCCTTGAGACATAGAGAACCATGTTAGGACCCTGAGATGTAGAGAGATGACATCTTAGCTGACCGTAGCTGGTATAGCGTTCGAGTATACTCCACTTCCCTTCTACTCCGGTGTGGTACTGTTGAGCTAGGTGAGACGCCAGTTAAGGAGGTGTTACTCTTCCCTTCCTTCTCCAGTGTGGTACTGTTGAGCTTGGCGAGACGCCTGTTAGAGAAGTAGTGTTACTCAGTGGTAGATCGACTACTCTACATGGGGATCCGTCT